ATTTTTGGTGTTTTTATAGAAGATCTGCATCGATTGAAAATTTGAGGCCCTCCACTGTAGAGCTAATCAAGAAGATGCTTGATGATCATAATCCATACGTTCAGGCTTTTAGGTCGGCAAGAGAGAGGTTCAATATGGATCACGGTGTGGAAGTTTTAAAATTATGTTTGCCTTCGGATAGAGCTTCTGATGCGAGGACTCATAATCTACCTACTTGCAATAAGGTTGCTGCTTTGATTCCTGGTGATTTAAATTGCGGTGAGAATAAGCGTGACATTATTATAGAAGGCCGTTCAGGAAATTTACAAAGAATAAGCGAGCTGCATCTGGCATATTTACCTTTACAATATAAAGAGGACGGCTATCGGTTAGGGATTGACATAGGTTTTGTAGATACTGCTGGACGGAAAAGGAAAACCGTGAGCATGAGGGAATTTTATGCTTATTGAAGTTTGGAGAGATATGGAGAAGCGTCTACGGGTTATGTCCGGAAAATTATTCCATCAGTTCTTAGTGGATGCCTTCACGACTATAGAATCGAACATATTGAATTATATTTGGATGAATTATATATATATATAGTTACGTTGCCGTTTTTATTTTTACGCAGCTATGTATACAATAGAATTTCAAAAAAGGGGACTGCCTCATGCTCCCATGGTCTTATTTCTGCATCCGGATTGTAAAATGCGCACAACGGACGACATAGATAAATTCATAAGTAATGAAATACAAAATAAGTGGATAAATATTTATATGAAATTGTTTCTGATGTTATGATTTATGGGACTTGTGGACGTCAATACAATGATAGTCCTTGCATGAAGGATGGTAAGTGCACAAAATTCTTTCCAAAGCCTTACGTAGATAATACTGTGATAGATGATGCTGGTTATCCAGTATATAGGCGAAGAGATGATGGAAGATTGGTACATAAGAGAGGTTTCGACTTGGACAACAGATATGTTATTCTGTTATAGACTAGAGAGAATAGAGAGGGAACTGGGATGCTTTATTCATTAGCTTAGAGCCATATATATATAGGTTCATACAAGGAGGTTACAAGTAAACCCTAATACAACTAGGAATAAGTTACACCTCCACAACATTGGGCCGGACCGGGCTTGACATGGGCCGGGCCTTACTGTGCTTGTTATGACAATCCACTATGATTTATAACACTCCCCCTTGGATGTCAGAACCGTCGTGAGCTAGTAATACGCTTGGGGATGTTGCCTCATTAAAACATTACCAGGAAAACCCATTGGGATAAAACCGTGGTGAAGGAAAAAGAGTACAACACATATTACTCCCCCTCATTTGAAGCTCATTGAAGCTCTTTCAACCGGCGCATTCCAATTTGCTTTATAAGCTTCTTTAACGTTGAGGTTGGAAGCGACTTGGTGAATAGATCCGCCGAGTTGTCACATGATTGAACTTGTTCGACTTGAACCTCTCCGGCTTTCTGTAATTCATGAGAGAAGAAGAACTTCAGAAAGATGTGCTTCGTCCTATCTCCTATTATGTATCCATCTTTGAGCTGAGCTATGCAGGCAGCATTGTCCTCATACATTATTGTTGGTGCTGCCTTCCCTACGGTCATCCCATAATCGATCATAATATGTTGAGTCATGGACCTCAACCAAACACATTCACGGCTTGCCTCATGCATCGCCAAGATTTCAGAATGGTTGGACGATGTTGCTGTGATCGTTTGCTTTTGAGATCGCCAGTGCCTTTGGGTTGGACAAGAGCTAAATCTAGACAATAGATTCACGACAAAACATATATCCGGCCTAGTGTGGCTCACCAGATACATCAGAGCTCCGATGGCACTTAGATATGGCACTTCGGGACCGAGGACATCCTCGTCCTCTTTCTTAGGACCGAATGGATCTGTATCAAAGTCAAGTGACCTCACAACCATGGGGCTAGTCAATGGGTGAGATCGGTCCATATTAAACCGCTTGAGTACCATTTCTGTATATGCCATTTGATGCACAAGGATTCAATTATTGATGTAGTCAAGCTGTAACCCCAAACAGAATTTTGTTTTCCAAGATCTTTCATCTCGAATTCATTTTTCAAATATTCCACTGTTTGGGTTATTTCACCAGAGGTACCCAGGATATTCAGGTCGTCGACATAGACCGCGATGATCACGGACCCCTTATCAAATTTCCTTATAAAAATACAAGGACTTATGGGGTCGTTCTTATAGCCCTTTTTGATCAAATACTCGCTTAGTCTATTGTACCACATGCGACCTGATTGTTTTAATCCATACAGGGATTTATCCAATCTTATGCAAAAACGTTCTCGAGAACTTTGCTTATCTTTGAGCTCAATGCCCTCTGGGACCATATAAGTATGCGGTTACAACATCCATTAACCGCAAGTCTAAATCATGTCTTATGGCCAGATTTATTAGGAATCGAAAGGTAGTAGCATCCACCACAGGGGAGTACGTTTCCTCATAATCGATTCCCGGCCTTTGTGAGAATCCTTGTGCAACAAGCCGTGCTTTATATCTCACGATTTCACCGTGTTCATTTCTTTTCCTCACAAAGACCCATTTATGTCCAACTGGCTTTATATTTAGAGGTGTTTTTATGATTGGACCAAACACATTCCTCTTCTTTAATGATTTTAAATCCACGTCAATGGCCTCTTTCCATTTGCCCCAATCCGGTTGTTGGGTGCATTCTATTATGGACGTGGGTTCTAGATCCTCGGATATTAATTTCATTTCAAGTGCTACCTTGTATGCAAATATGTCGTCGACGTCGACTTCTTTGCGGTTCCATTTTATCCGGACATAACATAATCGATTGCAATCTCATTATTATCATGAACATAATCGGTACCTTGAAGCTTGGCGTCCCAAGTCTCATTAGTAGGTAACTGAGGTTCGGTTATGTCACGGGTACCCACCACGGTAACCTCGGAATTATTCTTAGCACCTTTCTTTGTTTTCCGAGGATTTTTATCTTTGGAACCTACTGCTCTGCCTCGTTTCAAATAGGCTTTAGACTCTGTAGCCACTTGATTGTGTCCTTCTTGAACATCAATTCTTATAGGTGCATTCATAGCTGGTATATGTGATTGAGTCACTCTTTTCGGGTCAGCAAAGGAATCTGGCAATTGATTAGCTAGCTTTTGCATATGCAAAATCTTTTGGACCTCTAGGTCACATTGCATAGTCCGAGGATCTTGCCATGATAAGGATGTTTGATTCCATGAAATTTTCTTTACCAGCTTATGATTATTATGATCTCCCCCTAGTGGTGGGTAAGTGGATTCGTCAAAATGACAATCCGCGTACCTGGCCTTGAATACATCACCGGTAGTCGGCTCAAGGTACTTTATAATGGTGGGAGATTCATATCCAACATATATCCCCATCCTCCTCTGAGGACCCATCTTAGTTCTCTGTGGTGGAGCTATTAGTACGTATACGGCACAGCCGAATACCCTTAGATCAGATATGTCTGGCTCATGACCCGTTAATAATTGTTTCCGGGAATATGTATGTTCACTAGATGGCCTGATGCGAATTAATTCGGCTGCGTGTAAGACAACATGTCCCCAAGCTGAGATCGGGAGTTTTGATCTCATAAGCAACGGTCTGGCTATTAATTGTATACGTTTTATTAACGATTCTGCCAGACCGTTCTGTGTATGTACATGTGCCACAGAGTGCTCCACACTTACCCCCATGGACATACAATATGCATTAAAAGCTTGGGACGTAAATTCACCAGCATTATCAAGACGTATAGTCTTTAAAGGAAAGTCTGGAAAGTGTGCTCTTAGTCTTATGATTTGAGCTAATAACCTCGCAAACGCCAAGTTGCGGGTCGATAATAGACATTCATAGGGCTATCTTGTGGATGCATCTATTAGTACCATAAAGTATCGAAACGTCCCACAAGGTGGGTGTATCGGTCCACAAATGTCACCATGTATTCTTTCCAGAAAATTTATCGTTTCCTTAGTCACTTTAACTGGTGACGGCCTTATTATGAGTTTCCCTTGTGAACATGCCACACACGTGAGGCTTTTAGGGATAACTCTTTTCTCATTGAACGTGTGTCCATATGAGTTCATGATTATTTTTCGCATCATGCTCGACCCGGAGTGGCCAAGCCGGTCGTGCCATAGAGCAAATCTCTCGGTAAACCCTTTGTTTACCATGGCATTGGCTTCAATCATACTTGCCTTAGCATAGTAGATGCCAGTTGATATAGAGGATATAGTCTATAGGACTCTCTTATGGCCTTGGGCAATTTCATAAATCATAAGGAACTCTTTGTTTCCTTCGCCCTTGGTTTCAATATGAAAACCATTCATTCTAATATCTTTAAAAGATAATAGGCTCCTCTTGGAGCTGGGTGAATATAGCGCATTAGAAATCTCTACATGCGTACCCGTGGGCAATATTATGTGGGCTTGGCCGTAGCCTTCAATTAAATTGGCCATACCCGCTATGGTACTTATATTGGCGTTTTTAAGTGTTAGATCAATGAAGTATCTCTTATCTCTTGAAATCGTGTGGCTTGCCCCACAATCCACCACGAATGTATCCATGCCCTTTGGTATACTTCAAAAATAAGAATTTAAATCTTAACATTTTATAAAAATATTCTCATATTTTATTAAAACCAAAATAATAGAGATAGATCCATAGTAATTATTGAGAATACATCAAATTATTATAGAGAACTATAAAAGCTTAACAAAGCTTGATGTCAAAACACTTGGTTTATTCAAGGCAATCGGAAGTCTCCATGAGATCATCCTTGACATGATCGAAATCATCCTCTTTGTCATAATGCACCAAATGAGCTTACGGATTCTTCCCTTTGATACTCTCTTGATAGAGGTCAACAAAATACTTGGGAGTCCGACAATTCTTAGCCCAATGGTTCCCCATCCCACATCTATGACAAATAGTTTTTCCGGTCGGGTTTTGCGGTTTTGAAGATGTACCACGGCTACGGCCTTTTCCGCCGTGATACCCGCGGCCTCGACCTTGTCCATGACCGGAGGAGTGACTACGGTCACGTCCTTGCCATTTACCACGTCAAAGGCCGGATGTTTTATTATCTCTTTGGACGTGGTGAGCCTCTTTGGCTTCTTTCTTATCCGATGCAACATCATTGGCTTCAGGGAGTGGGGCTGTCCCGGGAGGTCTCATCTCGCTATTTCCCATTAGCAATTCATTGTTTTGCTCAGCGAACAACAAACATGAGATCAGACTTGCATATGTCTCAAAGCCCTTTTCACGATATTGTTGTCGCAACAATACGTTACTTGTGTGGAAGGTGGAGAAGGTTTTCTCAAGCATATCCTTCTCACTTATCTCTTCTCCACACAGTTTCAAGATAGAGACTATCTTAAACATGGCCGAGTTATATTCGTCCACGGATTTAAAATCCTGGATCCT